CCAAGCCCATCGACTCTCTTTAGGATGGCAGCCTGGTTGGATTTTCTGGTGTGTTACATAATAGAGGTGGGGTTTGAGGGTCTGCCAAGTCTGAATCTGACATTCCGGCCGCTGCACCGCATTGGCATCACAAATAATTAACGTGTGCAAGCAGTCAATCAAAATCTTCTTAGCATATCTGCAACACTGTGGTTGGGGGGGGTCGTCACCAGCCTTCCTTGCAGGTGAATTTTCTACATTCCCAGGTGGGGCTCCAAAGGACTGATAGGGAACCAAGGGGTTCTTCATAACTGCCAGACTCCTTCATGCATGTGACAGAGTGGTCTCTGGCTCACCGAGGCGTCTGTCACGATCAATCCGTTAGCCTTCAAGGTGTCCCAAATTTATTGTGACAGAAGCTTCTGTGAGCCAGGTGTCCCAGCCCTGACCTGGACAGCCCAGGCTAGCCCGATCTCGTCAGATCTCAGAAGCTAAGGCCTGCCTAGTATTTGGATGGGAGACCTCCAAGGAATACCAGGGTCATGACACAGAGGCAGGCAATGGCAAGCCACCTCTGAACGTCTCTTGCCTTGGCAAGCTTACGGGGTCGCCATAAGTCAGCCGTGACTCGATGGCCCCCCCCAAAAAAGTGTTCCAAGACACGTTGACGTTTTGACTGCAGCAGAACAACACCGCCAGCCTTCCTGTGATCACAAAAGTCTAACTTCTGCAAAAGCGTGCAAAAGCTTTCCTCTGCTTATAATGGAACACTTTCCTTAAAACCGGTAATAACTTCCTAAAGTTACCCATGTAAGCATCCTGCTGTGGTCCACAGCCACAGTTTCTAAAAAGCGTTCCTCCTCCCCAAGATAACTTAAGCATCGTAAGGGTGAGGAAGCCCTGCTGGATCAGACCAGGTCCTTGTAGTCCAGCACCCATTTTCCCACATTTCTAACCACATGCCCCAGGAAGGTCCACAAAGACCAACACTTAAGCATCGTAAGGGTGAGGAAGAAAAGCCCTGCTGGATCAGACCAGGTCCATGTAGTCCAGCACCCAGTTTCCCACATTTCTAACAACATGCCCCAGGAAGGTCCACAAAGACCAAAGCCTCCCTCAGTTTCATACCACCTCTTGAAACATGGAGGTTCTATTTAACCTTCACAGTTAATAACCACTGATGGTTCTCTCCTGCATGATCATGACCAATCCACTAGAGTTGTCATTTCTGGGTTGGGAAATTGGGGGGAGATTTTTGGGGTGGAGACTGTGAAGGGCAGGGTTTGGGGAAGGGAGGGACCTCAGCAACGTACAATGATGTATTGTCCTCTCTCCAAAGGGCCAGTTTGGTGTAGAGCCAGTTTGGTGAGTGCCAGTTTGGTGCAGCAGTTAAGTGCGCAGACTCTAATCTGGGAGAACCGGGAGTCTTGAGTGGGAAGAACTGGATGGAATTTGGACCAGAATCACGTTGGGGAGACACCAGCTACTGTAGATTTTTCTTTTTCTTTTCTTTTTTACGTCTTTATTTATGCTTTTCCTTCATAATTCACATTAACATTAATATATCTTCGTCTTTCCAGTCATCACATTTTGTTTAACATTTACATATTTACATTCTTTCATGCATTGATTCAAAATTTCCTATTATACATCCATTTATATAATCTTTCCCATCTTTTAATGAATACACTTTCATCTTTCCCTTGAAGAATTAAGGTTAGCGTGTCCATTTCTGCTACCTCCACCAATTTTTCTAGTGTTTCCTGTCTTGTTGGGACTCTATCTTGTTTCCAGTATTTGGCCATTAATATTCTTGCGGTCGTCATTATATATGTTATTACATATTTTTCATTTGGTTTATAATCCTCTGGTACCATATTCAGTAAAGCTATTTCAGGGGTTAAAACCATGTTTAGCTTCATAATATCGACAATAGGTTTTTGTATCAGTTCCCAATACCTCTTAGCTTTCTCACAGCACCACCACATATGGGAAAAAGTTCCTATGTTTTTTGTACATTTCCAGCATATTTTCGGTGCTGAGGGGTGGCATTTTGCTATCCTATCTGGAGACCAATACCATCAATGGTAAACTTTATAACTATTTTCTTTGTAGTTAATCGCTCTCACGTATTTCAATGATTTCCTGGTATTTGCCCATTGGACCATATCTATCATATATCCTAGATCTTTATTCCATGCTAACATGTTTGTGCTGACCATTTCATCTTGTAGGTAGTCCTCTAACAAAAAGCCATATACTCTCTGAATTAGCTTATCACGTGGGGATAGCCAGATCTCATCTAATTGCGTTTTTCTTGTTCTTAACAAGATCATGATTACATTCTAAAACTAAGACCTCGCTCTTTAAATGCAAGCTGCCATGCCACATTTTTTTTTTAAAAAAACCAGTTTTTAAGAGAGGCAGATCGGCCTTCCAAGTGAGGCACCGCACCCACCAGCCCCACGCTGGCTATGAGCCTGGTTGCATTAAACATCCGTGCTCGCTGAGCAGTCCCCATTCCCCTTGTTCCAGAGTTGGCGCTGCTGCCCCCTCTGCTCACTGCGGGCTCTCTCTCAGTAAGAACGCTTGCTGCTGCCAGGGGCTCTTTCGTCTCCAGAGAGAGCTTTTAGAACTGCGCCACGCAGAGAGAGCTGGCATTTCAAACATGCTCGGCAGAAGCTTCAGAAACACAGGTTCTTTCTCAGTCGATCACGGCCGCTGCATTTCTTCACTGCGCCACTTTGCATGGGGGGTACCCCTGACTGTAGAAATGAGGCTTAGGCTGGGAGCGGCTGGACCCAGATTGCCTAGTGAGTGGGGATTTGAACCTGGGTCTCCCAGATCTAGTCCAATCACTGTCTCACGCTGGCACTCATTGTCTATTGTATTGTAAGCTCCTTGTGGTCAGTGACCCATTTTACTTATTTGATTCATTTATACCCCACCTTTCTCCCCGGTGGGGACCCAAAGCAGCCTACGTCCTTCTCCTCTCCTCCATTTTATCCTCACAACAACCAGGGCTATTTTTGGGCAGGAACGCACAGGAACGGAGTTCCGGCTGGCTCCCAAGTTGGCCACACCCGGCAGGAACACATTAGCATAATAGGCCACACCCAACAGCAGAAACTCATTAGGACTGGCTACATTAGGGGTGTGTGGCCTAACATGCAAAGGAGTTCCTGCTACAAAAAAAGCCCTGGGTTTTGACAACAAACAAGGTAAACAGAATAACAAGCAAAAGGTGGGTGTGGCTGGATAACCACACTTCTGGTAACATGGGGGTGCGGCCTAATATGCCAATGAGCTGTGCTGTCTGGGGTGTGGCCCAGTATGCTAATGAGTTCCTGCTGTTGGGTGTGGCCTATTATGCTAATGAGTTCCTGCTGGGCTTTTTCTAGAAAAAGAGCCCTGACAACAACCCTGTGAAACAGTCGAGGTTGAGAGAGTCTGACTGGCCCAGGGTCACCCAGCACAAGTGGGGATTCGAACCTGGGTCTTCCAGAAACTAGTCCAACACTCTTAACCACTACACCACACTGACTCTCATCTATTTTTTCTTACGAAACACTGTGAGGCATCCTGTGTATATATGTGAATAAATATACGTAATAATAAGGTGGGCTTAGATAAGCCATTCTCTCTTCTTCAGTCCTCCGTTTGTAATACGAAAACAGTAGTGGCCCACCTTACAAGGCTGATGTAAGTATTACTGAAGGCCTAATGACACGTTAACATTGTCTGATTTGTCTCAGATCCATGTAAAGTTGCCAGCCTCCAGGTGGTGGCATGAGATCTTCTGGGATTACAACTGACCTCCAGGTGACGGGGATCTGTTCCCTTGGAGAAAATACAAACAGATAAACAGAATAATCTGTCATGCTGTACAAATCACACTTGAGACTACTGTCTTCTTACACAGCTCTCCTTACAACCGAAATTAATCCACATTACAAATAGTTTGGCCGTCATGCATAAACGACAACCGCACCAGTTGAATGGTGACCTAATAGTTCTTGAAAGTTGTAATGTACTGAGTTCGGAGGCGCTGAGTAGTGATCAGCTCGTGTTTATTAAAGCAAGCAAAACGAAAGACAAAGTAGCGAGGTCCGAGTCCCGCTTATATCCCTGCAGTACCCACACCCAACACACACCCCAACACCAGTGATAGGCTATTTACAATGGAGTAGTCCATCATAGGCCTACTCTTGAATCCAGGCACTCCGATTGGTCTGCTGTAGGATCTGATTCCTCTATTGTTCAGGCACCCGAAGGTGAGCTTGATGGCATGGCCTTATTAGCGCTAATGTAATTATCTCAGTATACAACAAAAGTACAAGCCTCTCTTCAGATCGATGCGCTCACCGGCTCATCATGCAGAGAAGAGTTTCCAGAAGAAAGCATGTAGTAGACGGCATGAGCTCAAGACTAGCTGTAGTGCGAACCATAGGAGCGGTGACGGCACACCTAGGTTGCTTTGCCATTTCTTAGGGCTTCATCAGGCCGCTTTTCTTAGTGATGGAGCTCAACCCAGCTCTGGCAAGTTTCAAAATGACATGAGGTCTACCCATATGTTCCAAGTAGCCAGGAATCAGGCTGCTTTGGAAGGTGGGCTCTATGGCATTACACCCCACTGAAGCCTCCCCCAAACCCTCCTTCCTCAGGCTCCACCCCCAAAATCTTCAGGTATTTCCTGAGCTGGCAACCCTAGGTCCATGGAGTATAGGGAGAGGGCCCTTAAGCTTCCCCCTAGGACTGTTTTCCCAACCTGAAATGGCCCCCGGGGAGCCACTGTTTGCCCTGATGTGGAAACGTATGTGTGGGTGTCTGTAGCACATCAGTACTCGTACATTTCCCCAAAAGGGCAAACAGCAGCTCCTGGGGACTGTTTCAGTTTGAGGAAATGGTGCAGGGAGGAATTTTTAAGCCTCTTCTCCCCACGCACCAGGGACCCCCTGACACAAACCAGGCCCCGACATGCCTGTGAAGTAAGTTCAGAGCAGAGTACTTCCAGCGCATGCCTGGTTGACAGAAGCAGGACAGATATACGGGAGACACAATAACTTTACTTATAACATTTATAAACCCATCTTTTCCCTCATGACTCAAGATCTGAAGTGGGTACGAACAATGACTACAACACCGTGATTCATTAAAACGTAAACTATATCTGAGCCAATAAATGTGAAATACTTTTAACTACATCAAAATAGCCAATATAAAATCACGCCCCCCCAGCTCTCTCTAGATAATTCCCTTTTACAGCTGCCCTGGTAAGCCAGGAGAGTAGAAGGCCCTTTGACCACTTCCAGAAGTAGGGAGCAGCCTTTGGAAAAGCCCAAGCCCTGTTTACCAAATTTCAAAGCGATGGGGGGGGGGACTTGGAGGAACTCTGAGGGCATGTAGAGGAGCATGCGGGGGAGGTCCCCTGTTTCTTTGATGTCTCTAGCTTGCCCAGGATCCATTCTATACACTCCTGAACCTCCTGAACCTTTGCCTATGATTTCCTCAGAAAGCACTTTCCTGGGGGCACCTTCTTTTTTTTGGGGGGGGGGGCATAACTCAGGCCCCGTAAATCCAAACCTCACCAAACTTGGAGGGCAGGTAAACGAGAGTCACCTGGGGATCCTCTGTTGGTTTGGTGTCTCTAGCATGCCGGGGTGTGTGCGTTCTGTTGCATCACGAACCTTACAAATTGAACCGGTTCATTTGGGTGCTCAAAGTTGGTGATGGTTCGTGGTTTGCAAACTGGGCATGCAGCGAACCAAACCACATTTCCCCGGTCCATGCCCATCCCTAGTAGTAATCCCAGATCTCCAGCCGCCACCTGGAGCTTGACAGGCCTAAGCTGGATACACTTCATTTTGTGGAGCTTGGTGCATTTGATTTGTTTTGCTACTGCAGCTTAATTTGCTTATGAGTTTTATCTGTTCCTTGCAGCTGTTAATTAATTAAGTGTACAGGTTTTTCACTCACCTGCTGCTTCCCCACCCCCCCTTATATTTCTAGTTCTGTAGAGTTTGATTATTGGGTATCTATTTCCCTGGTGGAAATCGCCTCAGAGTTTGTAAAGTGATATTCTATGAATTCATTAAACAAATAACTGCGGTTCTAAACAGAGTGACAACCTTCTTTCTTAAGATTATTTAATCAAAGCAAAGCCGGTAGAATAGTCTGAGCAGTTATCAGACTTTAAAAAAAGAAAGAAAGAAAGTACCCAAGAACAATACATACAACCCAGGAAGCATCAGCAGCTTTATTTGCAGTATAAAGGATTTGCAGCATTACATTTTGACAAGTTAATGTGATTAACCCATCTTTGTAAAAACAATTTCGGAGGACTGATCTGTCACTGAAGTAGTATCTACCGTAATCAGCCGATCACATCACTGTCTGTTGTTATCAGTTGGTAGCATATGACCACCGTTAATACACAACTAGGTACAAATAATGTTTTATAGATACGTTATTCAAAAATTTTAACTCTTACAAATAACAGGCAAATACATATAGCAAAAATTATTAAAAAAATAAGGTGGGATATCATCCTTATGCTTGTTGTTCCAGAACGTTATACATTGTTTGAAAAAATTGTCTACAAATAAAAGATTATTATATAAAGACCATGTATAGTATGTTAGTTTTTTCAAGTAAGGTGCCTTCCTTACTCTATAAAGCCACTCAGAAATTGTTGGTATCTCTGTCGGTTTACAGTAAGGCGCAGTACACATTTGTGCACTAGCTAACAAATTGAACTCCAATTCTGAATTGATTTCTAATACCACATCTTTAAGATAGTATAACACCATTATTTTTGGATTTGGGAGAATCTCACACCCACGTATTGATTTCAGTACTGCGGCCCAGAATTTCTGGATCTCAGTACACTCCCAAAAGACCTGTAATAGTCTCCTTTTAGGAGCTCGGCACTGCCAGCAAATGTCAATGAGAATCTTAGGCCGAGTTCAGACTGGCAGTTTGCCCCGATATAGGCATGTTTCAGAAACGTTCCACAACTGGATTAAAGGGGTCGTTCACACAGGCACATCTGTCAGGCGTTCCCCACCCGTACTCAGCCCGTCATGTAACGCTTCACTCCCGAGTTTAAAAGATACCTGGTGAAAGTGGTAGCAAACCCTGGAAAGCGCGATTATCCCGCATCCATCCCGCACCAACAAAGTGTGAACACCAAAACCCACATTTTTCTTATACGTTTATGTGCTTATGCGCATGAGCACATATCTCTAGATTGCCAAAAAGAAAGCTGTGCCTTACCGCCGTGCCTCCGGGCCAACAGTGTGAACGCTCCCTTGCGCCTCCTCCCAGTATGCTCCCGCATCAGTCGCTGCAGTGTGAACGGGAAAACCCGGAACAGTTTGTTCCAGCTCTTTTTTGCCATGACTCCCTCCCGCTTCGAACTGCCAGTCTGAACTCGGCCTTATAAATGTGTGATAATTTACATGGGGTTATATGCCATATATATATCAGCGTTCCGTGCGCCTTGGTGTTTAGTCATGCCGGCCACATGACCACGGAAACGTCTTCGGACAGCGCTGGCTCTTCGGCTTTGAAACGGAGATGAGCACCGCAACCCTAGAGTCGGATTCGACTGGCTTTTGAGCAAGGGAACCTTTACCTTTACCTATATGCCATCCCAATACGCTCTTGAAGAAATTTTCTTTGCTTTGTATTGCAATCAGTTCTTTGGGGTACTGATTCCCCTGCCTCTGATCATTTGTTGCTGTTGTTGCCATCACGTCTCTGCTGATTTATGGTGAACCCTGGTGGGGTTTTCAAGGCAAGAGACATTCAGAGGTGGTTTGCCACTGCCTGCCTCTGCGTCGCGACCTTGGTACTCCTTGGTGGTCTGTCTCCCATCCAAATGCTAGCCAGAGCCAACCTGACTTAACTTCCAAGATCTGATGAGATCGGGCTGGCCTGGGCCCTCAAGGCCAGAGTTTCCTATGATCATACCCCTAGAGATATTTCCACTCCAAATAATTTCCCCCACCTTATCAAATATTTATCAAATAGGAACTCGACTCAAGATTAACTCATACATACCAGAGACATTCCCTGGTAAAAGTCCATGTGCAATTTCCCCCCGATTGTGTTTTATTATGGCAACGCGTATCCTTTTTAAATCGAGTCATCGCCACACGCCTGATCTGAATAAATTGGAACAATTTCAACCTCCTTCCCCCAATTTAGTCATTAGTAATCTGTTCGTCAGACAACAAACCATCTATATTGAACAGGCTCTCACATTCAGGTGGGTAGCTGTGTTGGTTTGAAGAAACAGAAAAAAGTTTGAGTCCAGTGACTCTCCAGCTCTCAAATGTAGCCCTGACATTTCCTCATTATAAAATGTTGACGTTAATGGGGAGAAACGTGGACTTAATAAAGAATGCAGCCTTTCTCCGACTAATCAACAAGCATTAAAACTATCAGTCCTCTGCATGTGTAAACAAGGGAGAGGGGTCCATTGTAGAGCATTGGGGCTCAACTAAATGTCTATTCATAGAATCATAGAATCACAGAGTTGGAAGGGGGCAAGGGGCTATACAGGTGAACTAGTCCCACCCCCTGCTCAGTGGAGGATCAGCCTGGAGCCTCCCTGACAAGTGTTTGTCCAGCCGCTGCTTGAAGACTGCCAGAGAGGGGGAGCTTGCCACCTCCCTAGGCAGCTGATTCCACTGTTGCGCAACTCTGACTGTAAAGAAGTTTTTCCTAAGATCCAGCTAGTACCTTCTCGCCCTTAATTTAAACCCATTATTGCGAGTCCTATCCTCTGCTTCCAACAGGAACAGCTCCCTGCCCTCCTCTAAGTGACAGCCCTTCAGATACTTCAAGAGAACAATCGTGTGTCCATCTGTTTATGTGGGGGGACTCTCGTTTTAACAGAAAACTGTGCTCAGGCGAGAGAAGCAAAACCTTTCTTTACCTTTCCATGCTCTGTTGGTTAAAGCATTCTTTTTTATTTTTACTTTATTTATACCCTGCCTTCCTCCCCGGTGGGGACCCCAAGCGGCTTACATCTCTCTTCCATTTTTTCCTCACAACAACTACCCTGTGATGTAGTGCAGGCTGAGAGAGTATGACTGACCCAAAGTCACCCAGTGAGCTTCCATGGCAGAGTGGGGATTCGAACCTGGGTCTTCCAGACACGAGTCTTGACACTCTTAACCACTACACCACTCTATCTCCCTAGAGCCATTTCTCCCCACTTTGCTCTGTTGCCACATGTGAGACTGGAAGGAAAATATTTAAATCAACCGAAGTGCAGTGTGGTGAGGAGAGGGGCCGGATTTAATTCCCCTCAGCAGCATGCTCCGTTTTCTTTTAAAAACCGATTTCCACACATCCCGCTTTTTATGTGAATGGGGAGTCACATGGATCGATACAAGCGTATTCCCTCACCAGGTCATGTCTAGGAGAAGTATCTGAAGAAGTGAGCGGTGACTCATGAAAGCTCATCCCCTGCCACAAACTTTGTTAGTCTTTAAGATGCTGCTGGACTCTTGCTGTTTTTAACCCATTTTGAAGCCGTTTTTGATCCGTCATGGAGTAAACCGGTATAGGGCTGCCATTTCACACATGGCTTTCCCCTTCCGGTAAAGAGCTGGATCTGAAGCAGTTTGCCATTTCAGACTGCACCGCTTTTTCCTAAGGGTGCCACTGGACTCTAACTTTGTTCTCTTCGTTCAGACCAGCACGGCTGCCCACCTTGGCAGATCTCTCCACGGTTACTTTGAAGTTAAAAAGACGCAGCAGGGGAGATCCAATAACAAACCTCATCTCCTCTCCCCCCCCAGTACTTTATGCCTGAGGCCCGGTTGGGCGTCTTATGGGCAGCTGTCCAATGCTCGTGATGGAGGAGTGGGTGTCCCGCCTCCTCTACTGTACACCTCATGCAACGAGTGACGCTGTCATTTCTGAGTGCCCGAGAACATGCAACTGATCACTGCTGGAAGCTGAATGCTGGGTCTGATCCAGGAAGGCATTCTTGTGTGTGTGTGTTTTAATTTGCATGTGATGGGTCCTCTCGAGGCCTGACCTTCCTACACACATATCCCATGGCAGCTGGATCCGTACTTTCCCACCCCCAGCTAGGGAGTAGCGCACAGAGCAGAGCATGACCATCACAACAAGTCCACCCCTGGAGGAGCAGGGCCCGTGACCTTCAGCCTCCCTCTTACAGCTCCCCCTCCCAACAAAGACTCTAGCAGCTTTGGAGGGTGGTTGGAATTCCAGATGGACAAAGCTACAATTCAGGGCCTCCAGGGCTGCCGGGGCTGCCACCGCCTGCAGATTCCTGGGGGGTCAGCAAAGAGTGCAGCGAGCAGCTCCTTTCCCACCCGCTCTCCCCTGACCTCCTGCCTGCGTTTGCTGTCCTGCCGAGGGCTCCGGGCAGGGTAGCGGGCCCGCACGCTCTCCCGTCGAGCCGCTGACATGCCCTTCTGGCGATCCCTGTCTCTGCCCAGGTAAGGCGGAAGGAGCGGTGGTGCACACACATGGATCTAAAAATAAAAGCAGTTCACATGGGTCTGGTCTCTGGGTGGAGTGGGAGCCGGGGAGGGATGAATCAAACCAGCCTCACGTCCCTGCGGCAGCCTGCAGTCAGAGTTCTCGTGCTGAAGTGGAAAGATTGGCTCTCCCCCTAGAAGATCTGGTGCTGGGGAAGGAGGAAGGTGGGTTTCGCAGCAGGCCAGCAAACGGCAGCGGTGCCTTGTGGTTCTTGGTGAGTTACAGGACGCTTGATGCGTCCTCTCAGCCGCGCGTGGAAGTGGGGTTTGCATCCTGCCGGGAGTGCTTGTTTTGATGGCTCCCCAACAAACCCTCGGCCCCAGTTTCCCTCCAGGGCTTGGAGTGGCCACCTTTTGAACATCGTTCCCAGCTGGAGGAACAGGGCTAGCCTACTTTGTGGTTTGTGAGAATTGGCGCATGGAAGCACCCCAGCTCTTCCATCAGAGGGAGCAGCTGTGGCGTGAATGATTTATGATGTTCTTCCTTCTCAGTTTCCTTTGCGCTGCTTGGATTTATCTGTCTTGCTTTTGAAGTCGGGCAGATCCGGGGGCTGTCAAATGGAAGTCTGCCTTCCGAGTCACGGGCGTGCAAGGCTTCTTGTCTCACCTCTTTCATGCTGGGTAGATGGATGCAAACGGTGTCTCTGTCCCACTAGAGCAGGAATGAAACTTGTTGCCCATTCGGAATCTGGTGAAAATTGCCCAGGTTTGAACATGAGATTGCAAATTTCATTGCTAGTGTGGTGTCATGTTGGAGTAAGACAGACTTGGGTTCAGATCCTCACTCATCCATGAAGCCCACTGAATGACCTTGGTCCAGTCACTCTATCTTAACCTCTCCTACCTCCTGGGCTATTGAGAGGATAAAAGGCAGGAAAGAACCCCGTGTGCCACCTTTGTGCTCCTTGGAGTAAGGAGGGGATAAAAACGTGGTAGATCGTTAAGATTCTATTTGGAGTACAATTTTTTTTTTTAAGAAACCCTGATTTTAAACTTTCTTGGGCGAATGTAGTTGTTTTGTGTCCTGTTTCCCACTTCTGACAACCACCTTCTAAATGAGATATAAGGGTTCAGGGATCTCTGATCCTACTTGTATCTGACGAAGAGAGCTCTGACTCTCAAAAGCTTTTATCCTGGAAATCTTGTTGGTCTTTCAAGTGCGTCCTGTCTTGAACCTTGTTCTTATTTTCCCTTAAAATGTGTCCCTCTGATGGCATACCTAACCTAACCTTTTTGTAGGAAATTTCAAATTAGGAGATTACACACTTGACAAGTAGATATGTGACGGGAGATGTTTTCCCTA